CTTTAAGTAACCTTTTATCTTCATTTAACGATTTATAACATAATAATAAATCCATATTGACCAATAAAATTTCATCAAAAATTTGTTCAACCAATAAAATTTCATCACAAATTTGTCCAATCACAGAGAAAGCCCGCTTTGGAGCGCAGCACATCTTCTCTTACTACTAACGAAAGAAAAAAAAGAAATGGCAAACGTTGAAGACATTAAACAACAGTTGGCGAAGGCAGAGAAGGAGCTCGAGGATGCGAAGACGGCGTTGAAGACGTTTAACAAAGGAGCAGATGGGCAGTGGCTGGAGGAGCTGAAGGGGAAACTGCGGAAGGAAGAAGGGACGGAGACGCAACAGAGAAGGTGGGAGAAGGAGAAGACGTCGCTGGAGGAACGGCAGAAGCAACTGGAGAAGGACAGGAGGGATCGTTTGGAGCAGGTGGAAAAGTTGCAGGACAGACTTACAGCAGCTACTGCTCAACCAGGTAAAGACTTTGTGACTCGGGCGTTAGGGACAGAGTAGTAATATGGTTTTCTTTATTAAGAGAACGTTTTACAGCTAGAGTTGACTATTTTGCTCTGTTTCTCCATTACTTCGTTACGCATCAGGGCCTGCCACAAGCCAAGAAATACAGAATCTGCAAGCCCAGCTGGCAGCCCAGCAAGAAGAGTTTTTGAAGTCAGAGTATGGTTGGTATCTTTTTCTTGGACAACAGTGTCCTGACTTGCCCGGTTGTTAATTATTGAACCCTTTTTTCCCCGAAGCATTTGAATTGATTGTTAAGCCGAACCGCAAGTCGTCGTTTATGTGGGTCGCGAATCCAAGCACTGCGACTCTCGCCGATCTGACGACTGCTATCTTTGCAAAATATCCGGCCCTGGAACAGCTTAATGTCGCGTTCGATTTCATAACGGAAGATGATGATGATGCTTATAGTCCCCGGAATGATGCTATGCTTCAGGGGATGCTGCGACAGCTAGTGGCGGCAGACAAACAGAAAATCACGGTGTCGCTGAAAACTCCATCGAAACCCTTCAGCGATTGGGAATTCAAGGATATGTGCCGGTTATTTGGAATTAGCAACCAGGATTCGGACCCTACCCTGGAGTCGTTTCCAAATTTCGAATGCGGTCTCGCAGATATCAACAACGAAACAGGGCAGAAGGCGCTTTCAAAACTTCTGGCTGAGCTGGAGGAATGCCTCCTATCCTTAACCCTTGACCAAGCCAATGAGCCCTCCAAGTCAATTTACGTTTTCTCTTATTTACTTGCTGCGGTGAACACTTTCAGGGGTAGTTTCAAAATATGGCCAGAAAGATTTATCGAGGGAATCAATGGAAGGGGCCCAGTCGATTTCGCAATAAATGCACGTGATGGGCAAATAGTGGGTGTGACAGAAGTCAAAAGGGAGGACTTCAGGAAGGGCATCACACAGAATGCAGTACAGCTGGAGTCCACTTTGGTAAGCTTTCTAAACTTTAATTGACATATATTTTTTATGAAATTAACAAGTTGCGATGATAGGCCAGCCGAAAGCGCAAAGCCAGCGAATTAGACACCGTCTTCAGGTGTTTCGGTATTGTCACCGACGTGGAGAAATGGTACTTTCTTGATTGTACGCTGAATGATGAAGGAAAACCTGCTTTTAAGCTGTCACAGCCAGTTGTCGTTGATTATACTGATGTTTCTATGAAGGAAAAGGCAGGAAAGGTACTCAGGCATATTATCTGGTTGCTGTCGCAAACACAGAACAAACCGTCTGCGCTGGATGGTCCAAGCAAAAAAGCCAAGAAACGATAAAGATTGACTTAACCACGCGTAATATTAAAATTATTACATCCTTTGGGGTATTGTTGAATGCGAAGGTGGTATGCAATCACAATTACCTACCCTCACTTTGCAAAATCAGGCTATTCAAGAAATAGTAGTTCTCATTCACAACTGTACATATACACGCATTATTCACTTTGCACCTAGCAAGTTATAATGATGCTATTGCTTTAAATAGCGACTCTTGCATTATTCTGTTTAAGTACAATACAAAAAGTGTTTTCTGACAAGTGTCGGAATATAATAAAGATTGACATGGAATCTCATCATGATTATTGCTTTATTAGTCTTATATTCCTATGCCCTCTTCATATTTGTTTGCTGATAATTTAATAGGCTTAAAATGATAAAAGAGGTTTTACATATCCCGCTCCAGTAAAGATCTTATTAAAACTATATATAGGATTACCCGTATATGAAAAATAGTGAATACAACGGTTCGACTGAATTTGAAAAAGCAATACGTTTCTTG